AGATACAACTGAGACTTCATTTTTTTGGCTTTTAATATATTCTATGTATTTCTCATGTGCTTTTATAGTCTGCGTTTTAATGGCTATATGTCTTATCAAGTTTTAGTAAACAAAGAAATCTTTACTAATAAAAATCTTTCAATTCCTGGCACATATGGCATTTGTAAGGTGGCATTTTATATTTTGAGTACCCTCTGACCATCCTCTACAGATGGCATTGGGGAGAGGAGGGAGAGACTGCCAGGCGTGGCACGGGGACCTGGGTTCATGACTTCCTTTCCCATCCGGAGCCCCTGGGAATGCAGGAGGGTGCAGGGCACAGCTCAGAGGGGAGCCTCCGCGGAGGTGGCCTGAGACAGGTAGCAGGTGACTTCAATCCTGTGCTTTTCTGATCAAACATACATTCTTCCTCCCCCCCATGTAAAAAAGCAAGTTTTCATTTTCCTGGGGTAGTAAAAATCTTTTGTGTGAAGAAGAAGTGTCATCAAGTGCCTTATTCATCAGCATATATACTGTCTCTGTAAAATGACAGTGGGAGTAAAAGTTCATCAGTTCAATATGTCTTTCACTTTTGGAGACTCCTGACTAATAACCTCTGGTATTTATCATCAGAACAGCCAAAGAGCTAAGATCTGGCACATGCTGCTCTCGTGCACTGAAGAAAGCTTAAAAAGACAAAAGATTGTCTCCATTTTTCCTTCTTCCATTCATTTAGAAGAGAAAGCATATCTTTTTTTAATTAAAAAAAAATATGAGCGTGCAGAAACATCTGGCCTATATTACCATAGCACTCTCCTAACCGGCCTCCTTGTCTCCAGTCTGCCTTTTAAAATCAACTCTACACGGAGAGATTTTTCTAGAATACAGACCTGCATCAGTCACTCACCCATACTGCTGCATCTTCCTTCATGGCTCTTTGAGTTGAGTAGCCGCAGCTCCACCTGCCCCGCTTGGGCCTGTCCCAGTCGCACCGAGCTGCTGGTGGCCCCTGACTCCTGCTACAGCGAAGGCCGCCTCTGGGCCTGCATGCCAATGGGCTCCCACAGCACCTGCCCAGCACTTATCACACTCATCTGTAGCCCACAGTCTTGTTTTTACTTGGCCAGCATCATGCTTTAATTTAAAAAAAACAATTAAATCTCATTAGGCAGGGCATATCATTGTTCAGTTTGCTTAAGGCCCCACCGCTCTCTATTATACACCAAACCCTAAGAACACATTTACTCTTTGCTGGGTCCTATGAGGCTACTTGCTCTCTTATTTTACCCAACAGACTACAGGCTGCATGTACCAAGGTTTTGTATTAACTTTGTATCTATAAGTCTGGCAGAGACTGCTCAAAAAATAGCTATGGTATTAATCCATGCTTTTTTTAAAAAAAGCTTAAAAAGCCACAATAACTCTTTTTAGCCTTTCTGTTCACAAACATTATAAAGCACAGGGACCTCAATGGAGCCAGCAGATACTAGCAGTGTTCCATGGGGATGGCTGAAAGTCTGTGTTTGTGATGGACCACTTTGAATCTTTAAGCCTCTGAATGTGATTATGCTCATTCCCACTACTTCCTGTGCCAGGATATCCGTATCTGTTATGATCCCTCACGAGAATTATTCTTCACATTTGTCATAGTTTTGTCCATCAAGGCATACATGTCCTTGGTTTCATTTCATCTCCACATGACCTCCACCCTTCCATCAAACTGGGCTCTGCAGAGATTTGAATGGAATAGGATTTATCTGCTTTGTAAGGTTTGATCATGATCCAAGTACAATCAGTATGCTTACCACAATTTGGATCCTGCCAAGGAGTAAGTAGCCAGACCTGGACAAGCTGGCGAGGCTAGGCTGCAGTAATGGAAATATCCATTGGTCAACCACAGATGGGCCATCTTGTTGATAATCTAGTCCTTTGTCTCAGTCACTGTATTTTCCATCTCCTTATCATTCTCTTCTAGACATTCACTTACATGCTGCTGTAAAGATACCAAAAAGATGTGGTGTCCCACAGGACCCAGATTACTCATATTTATGGAATTTCACATCATCAGTGACATAGGCCTGTGGTTTCTGTCTATGGCAATGTTGTTGCTGTAAATTAAATCTCCAGAAGATGGCCTGCATTCTCGGGGAGTGCTATGGGTGTTTCAGAGGGACTATATGCCATGAGGCATCGATGAGGAAATGTGTTAGAAGCACAAGAATGGAAATATGTCCAAGTGTCAAGTTCAAGGCAAATAAAAAGAAAACCCTTTTGTCTAAGCTTCCTTCCCTAGGGAAGAGGTGGGGGTAGGATAGGGAGAGCTTATTATAGAATCCTTTAGCTGCCAGAACTTTCATTGACAATTTTGTTAATGTGCCTGCTTGGCTGCCTTCTCAGAGGCCCATTGTGAATTCCGTAGCTGATAACATTAATAGTTAATGGGTGCACCTGAAAATCAAGCAATATTGTACCATTTGGGTAATAGTTATATTAAATGGTTCTTTTCTACAGCATCAAGCTTATCCGCTTATCTTTTTCTAATAATGAATACCTCATCTTTTCCAATTTCTTAATCAAGCACTTCCATATCATCTTGAGGCAGAATCAGATCCAGCTGCAAATAGTCTATACTCTTGGCCTGGATTATGTCAAATTATCCAACCATCTCACAGGTCCTTATGTTCTGTTCTCCTCTGAGACAAGGGCCTGACACACCCCTTCCCAAGCTCATGATCACCAGCACGAGCTAACTTTACAGTCATGAGGCAATATCTAGAATAGGTTTCTTCCTAGATTTGGGCACTATGGAGTGGGTCTCCAGGGTTTTTCTTTTTCCTGTTCCTTCTCCCTGAGATGCACGTGTACCTCATTCTGCATGGCCTTACTCCAGAGTTGGGTCTTTCCACTGCAGGGACAAAAAGTAAATGCAGCCATGCTTTAGTGATAAAACAATAGATACTTCATTTTTCATAGGTATTATATGCTATGGATTGACCAGAAGCATCAGGCTTCCCATACATTATTTTCTTCAACCAAGTACCTGTAACTGAAAGAGGAAAATATAAGAAATAGTGAACAACCCTTGGGGGAACCCAATACTGTCTCTTTCTGTCATATTTGTCTGAAACTTTGCTATTTCTGATGACTCTAGTCAGATGAATTTTTGAGTCAGTTTTTTTTAGCCAAAAATTTTATTTTTATACTTCAAGGCCTGATCTGCCTGGCCCTATCTCCTTCATTTGCAATTTCTTTTGATTTTTAAAAAATATATATTTTATTGATTTTACAGAGAGGAAGGGAGAGGGATAAAGAGTTAGAAAAATTCATGAGAGAGAAACATCGATCAGCTGCCTCTTGCACACCCCCCCACTGGGGATGTGCCCGCAACCAAGGTACATGCCCTTGACCAGAATCGAATTTGGGACCCTTCAGTCTGCAGGACGACGCTCTATCCACTGAGCCAAACCAGTTAGGGCTGATTTTTGATGCTCTTTTTCTTCTGAGCTTTAAAAAGACCCTCTTTTCCCACTGAAAACAGGAGAGCCCAGATTCACCACTACACATCCTTCTCCTGTAACATGGCAGGTGCCCTTTGATGTCAGAGGCCATGTTTTATATCTGCTCAATTGCTATTACCCGTCACGGTATATAGAATAGGAGCAATACATAGTTTATAAATGAATGAATACCAAATTTCACAATTTATGGTTGTTTAACCTCTTTTGTCCAAATTTTATTCCAACTGGGACTGTACCATCTTGAACTTCTGCAAATATTCTTAATACTAAGTTCAGTGCAATGCACACAGCTATGGCTCAGTGTTTAGTGGGAGCAAAATATGTTGTATAATTTGGAGCCCTATCACAGAGAAGCCAAAATTTGGCATGCAATATTTCAGAATCCCTGCTCATTCCAATTAGTCAAGTGAAGGAGTACATTTTTATCCTGAAGACTAACCATTGGTTGAACAGATTGGTTACTATAATTACTCTCTATTGGACCTCCTGTGGTTGGAACCTCTTATAACATTCCAGAGATGGAAAAATATTTGGAAAACCATCTGTGTTTCTCGAAATATTGAAATGGAAACCTTCACCTTCACAGAGTGCGACTCACACAGTTCAACAGATACCCATTATTCCCACAAACATTTATCAAACATTTCATACGTGACATGAGTTGGAGATAAATGTGAAACTGGCAAGTCTTTCAAATTGCTTATAATTTGGTAGCCAAGTACAGAAATAAAAGAGAATACAGTCTGATAAAGTCTACAATAGAAGCAGGTATAAAGAGCAGAGGTAACAGAGAGAGGGGGTAATTATCTCCGTGTAAGGGTTAGGGAAGGCTTCCTGAACGAAGTGGCTCTGAGTTGGAATTCAGCCGTGACATCAGGTTTTCTTGTTTGGATGACTATCATGCCCCTGATATGCCTGATTTATTCATTTTTAAAGCAGTATCACATTGTAAGAAATAAACATTTAAAAATCAAAGATATGAAAAGCGTTCAACTCCTCACTATAGCACCCAAACCCACCCCCATACTCTATGGTTTGCATGATATCTGAGAAACAGAGCTGAATATCTACTATATTAATGGAGTTATATATGTGCACAGAAGGCTAATAAATGTATGCTGCCAAATTTTTATGGTTTCATAAGTAGTGCTATTACTAACATTTTTAATAAGTGAAAAAAGGCATTCATATGTGCTAGTAGGAATTCAGTGTATTTTGTAGAATACTGCCACCCTTGATATAGCCTATGGGATGTGACTTTTCGTAAAGACCCAATGAACTTCTAGATTTGTCAGCTGTTTCCAAACAGATGCACTCTGCTAATCTAATGGAAACAGTCTGAGCCCAGATCCCAAATATCAATAGCTTTTAGTATTGCAAATTAGTTTGTCTATTGAGTAACTTGGACTCTGTAGTTGCTGATAAAAAGCAGCAAGTCGTTTTGTAGGGATGTTTCATGTAAACTGCCCTGCCAGGATCTGATGCTCATCTCTGTCCTTACAGAGTTTTAAGTTGAATGTAGACAGTCATTGTGCTCTCAAGGAAGCTGTGGAGGAGGAAGGACACCAGCTTCTCGAGCTCATTGCATCTCACAAAGCAGGTAAATCCTCCTGAAATATGGCAAGTCTTTATGTCTCCGGACTATTAAGAATGAAGAAGCATTGCTGTAAATTACTGCATATATTCACCTCCTTATGTATTATTAATATTTACATTATCAGATTGACCTTCAGGATTTATAAATGTTTCATATACTGCACACAATGCGGTGATACTTACAAGATGAAATACTGCCTCCAAATGGTCTGTTCATTGTATTTTGGGCTCGCTGTTCGCCTGAGTTTCAGTTGAAATCACATTCCTGAAAACTTCACATTGACATGCTTTTTGATGTAGGTGCTCTGGAAATAACTTTAAGATAATGAATGAGAATTGTGCATTTAGTTATGATGCATATGCATTGAGATACTCATAGATATCATTACAGATACAAAGCTGGCAGGCTAGAGATATCTGATTATTTCCCTGCCAATTCACACACAGGAACGTCTTGCATGTTCCTTGTTGGTCATTGTATTAGCAGAATTTTGGCCTTCTACCAATTCTTACCCCGGTTTTAATGTATTCATGAGGAACAGATTATAAATAAAAAATAGTTTTGTCATTTGGTTGTACTTATCCTGGTAGTAAAAGACCGTAAGACAGGATGAATTACAATTTGGCTCTGGCTTTGAGCTTACCACAGCTAAATAAGAAAAGAGCAGCATTAATCGGATGTGCTAATGCTAAAGACTGCTTTCTTAATTCTGGCCCATTTACTGTATTTCTCATCGAATTAACTTTACCTATTTCCATACATCTTTCTGATCATTATTACATCTCCACACAGATACACTCAGGACCTTTTATTAGGAATGTGAAGCTATAGTTAATAATTGTTATATATTGTGATTTTTCTTCCACATGCAATTTTTTAGTCAATGTACTGAATCCCAGTCAATCCCAAACCATGAATCAATATGGTATTACAATTTTTGTGTCCTTATGCCTTATGTCAAGTCAAAAATTCCCAGTCTCTATTCCGAGTGACAAATGCTAATATGGCAGGTGAGGGTAATGGTCATTAAAAATGACGTTAATTGTTAAACCACCTAATTTACTAAATAAAGAATAATAGGGTACAAGTGCAGTCAAGTCCGTGACTTGTGCTCTCCCCTTCCTTTGGAGAAGGACTAAAGGATATGCTGCGGATGATTGCGAGTCAGTGGAAGGAGCTGCAGAGGCAAATCAAACGGCAGCACAGCTGGATTCTCAGGGCTCTGGATACCATCAAAGCCGAGATTCTGGCCACTGATGTGTCTGTGGAGGGTGCGGAAGGGACTGGAAGCCCCAAGGTAAGTAGCTTGAAGTTTGCCTTATTTCCTCTTATTTCTGTCTTCTTTTGAACGAGGCACCACTGAAGTTTTCTCTCCAGCCCTAAGGCTTTTCTTTCCTATTGTGTACACTTTATATATCTATATATAGAGAGCGATGTATGTAAACAAAATGAAATGGCTTTAAACAGTAAAAAAAGAAAAGCCCACAACTTCCAGGTTTTCTAGGAGCAGGTCTTTTTGTGGAAAGTGCCAGGGTAGGAGGGAGACAGCACTTTCGGGGTAGGAGGAAGGGGGACATAAAACATTTAGTAAACAAAACATAAAGCATCTTAAACATGAATAATCAGAACGGTTTTAAATTGTTTTGTTGCAACTATAAATCACTATAATCAGTGCAATCACTCAGCTCTGACATCCATTAGCCGCTTGGTTACAGCAAATTAACAAAGAAGAGAGAAAGTGATTCATTATCTCATTCCTGTTAATGACTATCAGATGCATTGCCTAATTAGGGGATGGTCATTGTAGTGGGAAGAAGGTCATATGCTTTGCTACAAATCTTTCTGCTCTGAGTGTAAGTTCTCCATAATGGCACATGCACCGAATACAACAAGTACTTTAAAATCAAGTATTGACATGTTTTGGTTATCCATTTCAGAATTACAAAATAACTCTTCAAGCATATGCAATTAAACTTTATTTTGTTTTATTTTATTTTTATGAGGCACCTTTTAATACTATGTTCTAAAGGTATTTTTGACTCTTGATGTAGAAAGTAATTTTATTAATTTGACATTTTCATGTAATTTCTCTCTTCTTTTGTATTTGTTCTTTTGTGAAAGTAAATGCAGAAAACCAGTTTCATAACAGACTCAGCATCAGAACATATTGTAACACAGGGGAAACAGATTTAAGGGTTTAGGGTTTTATTCCTGGCATGGACAAAGTCATTAATTAAATCGTCGTCCAATCATTTATTCAGCATCCATGCCGGTTGGCACTGTGCTAAATGTGTACCGGGCGAGTTAAACAAACCCTTTGCCCTCTTAGACTCTCATTCTTAAGTGCAGGCAGAGGAGAAACCCAGCCTGCCCTGAGACGGTGAGACCATTTGTCCAGTGGAAAGTTCAGACAATTTATAGCTTTGGAACCTCAAACAACAACCTTTAACTTATTTGTTGGAAACAGATAGAATGATGAGCTCAGTTCCTCTTGAAGAAGGTTCCCCGGAAGAGGTCACATTTCAGGAAATACTTGGAGAAGGAAGAGGGGTGGTGTGGCTCATGAGCTCACATTTTTAGGAAGTGATGTGATGAAAGGATCAAAGCTGGAGCTAATCATGCGGCCGGGAGAGTGGGCAGAAGGGGAGGAGCTCCTTCAGGGCACAGACTGCGGGGAGAACTCGCCTGGACGGATGCTTCCCCTGGGCAGTGCTGAGGAGACAGGGCACAACGAAAAACTCCATTATGTTTTTAATACATTTTTATTGATTTCAGAGAGGAAGGGACAGGGAGAGAGAGATAGAAACATCAATGATGAGAGAGAATCATTGATTGGCTGCCTCCTGCACGCCCCCTACTGGGGATCAAGCCCACAACCCGGGCATGTGCCCTTGACTGGAATCGAACCGTCACCCTTCAGTCTACAGGCCAATGCTCTATCCCACTGAGCCAAACCAGCTAGGGCAAAACTCTATTATGTTTTACTTATTTAACAAAAATATACTCAGTGCTTACTTTTTAAAAGCCTCCCGCATGCCAAACACTGTTCTATAGCACTTCTGTGCATTCTCTTGTTTAATTCTCACACAAGCCTCTAAGGTAGACCTTTTATGGAGAAAACAGAGGCCCAGAGAAGTTGAGTAACCTGCCTAAGGTCACACAGGTGCTAAGTAGCAGGGCTGCGATTTGGATCGGAAGGCTTTGGCCGCAGAGTCCGTTTCCATCGCCTCCTGGAGCACTGCCTCTTGCGGGCAATGCACAGGGCAGGGCATGGTGATGGGCAGCCTCAGTGCCGGTCTCGTAGGGCTTAGGGCGAAGTGACGACACAGACTTAAATCTAATAATCCTGCCTTATTAGACTGTGATGTGCTGTGAGGGAAAAGGGAGCACCCGGACCTTGGGCTGGGAGCAGTGATTTTGATGAGGACACCAGGGAAGGCTTCTGTCAGAGACAGCCCAGTGTGAGCAGGCCAGTGTGATTAGGAGAGGGAGGAGGTGCAGGGTCTGCAGAGGGCAAGGGCTTTTGCGGGGAATGACATCGCCGATTTCCAGCATAAGAAAACGTGTTCTTGGCTGTGGTGTAGAGTGCAGCGAGGGGGCGCTGAAGTGGAACTGCGGAGGTGGTGCAAGCACCTAAATTTGTAAAGGACCGGGGTTGAAATGAATAGCTCTGTCCACCAGGGCCAATTTGAATCTGGCACTTTAAAATTAGCTCCTTTTGGAGGGGAGTACTGAGATGGAATAAAGACGATAACCCAATGAGGAGAAAGTATGTATTATCAACAGCGAGACAATACCAGCATTTCTCAGAAAGAGGACCTGCCCGGGCCCTGCCTCAGGTGGGCCAGCACCTCCTGGGTGGGGCCCCAGAATCGCCTTCCACGGCTCCTGGGAACCACTGTTCCTGACGGGGTGCCTGATTCTCCCACAACCCGATTTTCACACAACACGAAAGAGGTAACAATTTAAACATTAAGAGGAAAAATAAACACCTCCAGTTCCTAATGATTTGGGTGCTAAACAAACAACAATGAAAACCTTCTCTATCTGAAATGTCCCCAGAGTGAAAGTGTCTTCCTCAAGTCAGGTCAGTTTATAAAGAATGACTCGTGTTTTTCTTGTTAATGGTATTTCTATTCCGAAGCATCTCATGTCACACTGTGTACACAGTACATCTCAAAGCAGCTATGGGGAGCGGCTGTTGTAGGTGTCACGGATGCAGGACCTGAGGGAGGTGCTGAGGCCTTAAGACATGGACACGGCAGAGCCAGCAAACCCCAGGCCTGCTCCCTCCCAACTGTTTTTTTCGTTCCCAGTCTGCGTGAGTTTTCTCTGGACAAGTGAACTCATCCACAGTCCAGGGAGAAGGTGAAATCAATTTTAGGACAAAGAAAATGTGTTTCTAAATTTAAGCTTAGGAAACTATGGAGAAATCAGAATGATCATTCTTTTTATTTGTTTAATGTTTATGAACCACCTCCCTTAGTCCCTTAGGCAAACACAAAGAATAATAGGAGAAGCTCAGACTCTGAAGTCAGGCTGCCTGAGTTCAACCTCCCACGCTCACTAGCTATGTGTCTGTGGGAAAATGACTTACTTCCTGGTGCCTCAGTTTCCTCATTTGTAAAGTGGAGGTAATGCTAATGTCTACCTCAAAGGGTTGTGATGTACATGAAGGAGCTGACATATCTAAAGTGCTTAGAACAGTGCCCAGCACACAGCCAGTCCGGGGTAAATGTACAAGCATTCATATTTAGTTGTGGAGACAACAGACAAATAATTATAATATAATCTTGATCAGTGCTCTAGTAGAGGTAGGTACAAAGCTCTATGAGTACACAGAGAAGGAAATAACCAATCTGACTTGGGGGTATCAAGGATTTTCAGGAGAATTATGTTTTAAATGGTGGCAGTAGGGGTCGGGGGGAGGCGGGTGCGAGGGGCCAGAGTGAAATGCAAGGATTCGAGGTGTAAAAAAATGTGATGTGGTTGGAACCCAGGATCCTGTGGGCAGTGTTTAGGCTGTCTTTCGACAATCACCAAAGCTCACAATGTGACAAAAAATGACCCTTAATGATCAGTGATTTGAGCAATAATTCCTCCTATATCTTTAAATGACACTAGCCAAGCCAGAGTGAGATCCCTGTACAAAATACATCAAATAGGTACTGTTTAAACAGAAATGTTTTTGCCATTTTGCACTAAATACTAGTAGAGCAAACTTAAATAGGTTACCCTGAAGTCGTCCCAGACTGAAAGCTGGATTCTACTTGTCATCTATCATGTCAGTCCTTTTTCCATGACTGACCTTGCACAGGTCATGTATGAATTGTGCCATGAAATGCATCCTCAAGCATAGCAGTTATGATCCTCTATTTCATCTTAGACCTTAAAGAGGAACTAAAATTAAAACATAATAAAAAATAACTCCAGATTCATCTTAGGTTTACTTCAGAAGCTACTGGGAACTTGAGAAGCATAATAGAAAATCTAAGGAATATATCTAGGGGGTATTTTTCTTTTTTACCTTGTTTGAGAGACTGTAGTAAAGGACTTGGTCTTAGAAATCTTGTAAAGAAGGAAGATAGGAGGAAATTCAAAGACTCTGGGAAACTTCTCCCCCAGGAATCGGCAGCATACCTTATTTGTTGTATTTCATTTTTTTAAAAAAAGTGTTTCCCCAAGACTGTGAGATCTTTTATACATGGAAATAGAGAACAGAACTCACCAATTCTAGAAATAGAGCTTCAGCACTCTATCCAAGAATTGAAAATGTGCTTGTAATTGTACATTTTACTTTATATTGATGAAAGTTTATCACCTTAAACTAGGTTTTCAGTATGTTAGATTTTAAATACATATAGACAAAGGGATTTTAAAACTCAGCGAATAACTCCTAGCAAAGCCTACATGCTCTTTGTGACCTTCCAAGGAAAAAAACAAAAATCCTGAAAGCAAGAAGCTTTCTTAGATTTTGCACATTGGTTCTTTATATTGTTCTTTCCTTTCTATCTTTACTTTTCACCTGTGCAGCACACCTCATTACAGATACCTTAGAATCGAGGCTGGGGTTTCCCCACATGACGTCACTGGAAGCACAGGGCAGTGGTACCTTTGTCTTCTTTAAAGGAACAGATGCATTTCCAAAACAAAGACTATTTGAAAATTTTATTGTAAATTCAGAGAACTTTACAGTTACTAGAGGGTAACATAGCCTAGGTTCCAATCAACATCTTCAGTGAAAGGAGACAGAGGGTTAGCTGGTTTGAACTCTAGAGTTGTGCTTATTTTATCTGC